TAGAAACTTGTATCCAGAATATGTATACCATATAGAACTCTTACAACTCAACAATAGGAAGACAAATAACCAAAAGGGGAAAGCCTCTGAATAGATATTTCTCCAAAAAAGAGATTTAAATGTCCAATAAATACACAAAGAAATACTCAACATTGTTAGTCATTAGGGAAATACAATGAAATGCCACTTCATACTTTCCAAGATGGCTATAGTAAAAAAAGACTGACAATAACAAGTGTTGACAAGAATGAGGAGGAATTAGAACTCTCCTCTTCTGCTGGTGAGAATGTGAAATGGTGCAGCCTCTTTGCAAAACAGTTTGATACTTTCTCAAAAGGTAACATAAAGTTATCCTAATACACAATAATTCCACTCCTAGCTATGTATATTCCTAAGAGAATGAAAACATATTCACACAAAGCTTGCACATGAAGGTTCATAATAGCTCCAAAGTGGACACAAGTCAAATACCCATCAATGGGATGGTAATTTTATGAAATAGATAAATAAAATGTAGTACATCCAAACAATGGGATATTATTCAAATAGCAACAAAATGAATGAAGTACTTATATGCTACAACATGGAAGAAACTTGAAAACATTGTGCTAAGTGAAAGAAGTCCATTGCAAAGGCCATGTATTGTATAATTCCATCTACATGAAATTTCTTAAATAAGAAAATCTATAGAGACAGAAAGTAGATTATGGTTTCCAGGCACTAAGAGGAGGGGAATGAAGAGTGACTGCTAATGTGAATGGAGTTTCCTTTTGATGTCATGAACATGTTCTAAAATAGATTGTTGTAGCAATGGATTCACAGTGTCATGAATACACTAAAAATCACTAAACTACACACTTTCAATGCAGGAATTTTATGCTATGTAAGGTATGTCTCAATGAAGCTTTAGAAAATAAATACAGGGTTCTGAGTGGGAAATGTAATGATTTGAGGCAAAGTTGAGTTTTTACCTGTGAAAGCATGGGACTATAGTTTCAGATACATAGGAAATTTTAAAATATACTCTTTAAAAAATATTAATTGATGATCTATTTCAACTAACCTAAGAAGGGGTCAAAAAAGGGGAATGTGGCAATGTTGCCTATCCAATATTGATTTTCCCTTTCTAATTGTTCATGTTGGCAATGTGTCCATCGAAAAGCCACAAGTCTCTCTGGAAGAGGGGTGTGTATAGGAGCTGGCTGGGCCAGACATAGTTCTGGTAAGCAGAGTGTGCTCAGTGCTTCTGTGAAAGTATTCCTCTCCTGATACAAGGATAGCCTTCCTTCCTTCCTTCTTAGAGCCCCTCCTTCGTATCTGTTGCACCCAATGCAGTCATCTTGTGAGCGGGAGAAAAAAGACCACATCCCAGGGATGGTATAAAAGATCCTGGGTAGCCAATGATATTGTGAAGCTGCTGTACCAATTGTGATTTCCCTACCTTTAGACTTCTTGTTATACAAAAGAACAAAAATAGCTATCTTGTTTAAGCAACTGTTCTTTAAGTTTTCTGTTATACATTGCTGAGTTCACTCTCCAGCCAACAAAGGTTATGAAAGGCTGGGTTTAAATATTGCAACTAGTTAAGTTAGAAATAAACCTAAGGGCCCCTCCCCAGGTGGCTCAGTTGGTTAGTCTGCCTTCAGCTCAGGTCATGATCCCAGAGCCCCGTGTTGGGCTCCCTGCTCAGCAGGGAACCTGCTTCTCCCTCTCCCCCAATGCTTGTGTTCTCTCTCTTGCTATCTCTCTCTGTCTCTCTCAAATAAATAAATAAAATTTAAAAAAAGAAAGAAGCCTGAAGAACATTTAAAAATCTAGCTAGAAGCAATGTCCACAATAGCCAACCTGTGGAAAGAGCCAAGATGTCCATCGACAGATGAATGGATAAAGAAGATGTGGTATATATATACAATGGAATATTATGCAGCCATCAAAAGGAATGAGATCTTGCCATTTGCAACAACATGGATGGAACTGGAGGGTGTTATGCTGAGTGAAATAAGTCAATCAGAGAAAGACATGTATCATATGACCTCACTGATATGAGGAATCCTTAATCTCAGGAAACAAACTGAGGGTTGCTGGAGTGGGGGATGGGGTGGCTGGGTGACCCTGGGGAGGGTATGTGCTATGGTGAGTGCTGTGAATTGTGTAAGACTGTTGAATCAGAGACCTGTCCCTCTGAAACAAATAATGCAATATAAAAAAAAAAAATCTAGCTAGAAACAATGAAAATACTGAAAAAAATATATACAAAGGAAAAACTAATAATATAATGCATTTTTGTGTATTTCCTTTTAGAGTCATGAATGTGTTCAAAAACAGACTGTGGTGATGGGCACTCAGCTCTATGAATATGCTGAAAACCAATGAACTGCATAATACAGAATACTGCATTCTGATCTAAATCTCAAATATTCTTATAAGTCAGGTAATAGGAGTGTGATTAAGTATAACAAAAGGGAAAGTTGGGAATTAACTATTACTTCTCTTAAATAATGGGATATTGAAGATAAAATTCAATTTTTGAATCTTATCATAGGAAAACAGGTTAAGAATCTTTTTCAACAAACATTAACTACTAGTAGAAATTTTAAGAGAGGAGAAAAAGGGAAGAAATTATCTTCTATACAATACTAAAAGATAAAAAGGGGGAGAAGCGTAATGAGAGGATTAAAGTCAATTATAATAATAAACCTAAAAGTCACATTTCAGATTGCATTAAAAAAATCATAATTTTTATTTCCGATAGACATATTACAGCAGACAAGAGTTAGTTGGTTAACTAGCCAGATATTTCCAACTCATTCTTCTTCATCTTCTAGTAGAGACTCCAAAACAGATAAATGCTTTCTAGTCTCCCTTGCAGCTATGGCTGGTCATGTCATACAGTTCTAGTCAATGACAGGGAAGTGTGGGGCTCTGGGAAAGTTTTTACTTTTCAGATGAAAGAAACTAACATAACTGGCGCCATTCTTACCCTTTTGTCTTGGCTTAGAAATTCTTGTGAGGTCCAGAGCTGCATGCAGTATTCATCTTGCAAACATGAGGCAACAAAGTAACATGCTAAAGATGGATGGCATATGAAAAGAATCTATGGCCTTAGAGGTCGTAAAAGGCAAAACAAAACAAAATAGAAGAGCAAAAGACACCACACTTATTTGCTTAAGCTATGGTTAGTTCTGATTTCTGACTTTTGGCTAAGAGCATTCTTTGCTGATATTTACAATATACATAAAATAAAATGACAAAAAAGTTTTAAATTAATGGAGTGTGTGATAGTAAGCAATAACAACACAAAAAGAACATGTTCCTATGTTACTATGAGAGAGAATGAAAGAAAAAGGCTTAAATAGAGGGCCTTGTTACATCGATAAAGAACAAGTGTTATAAATGTTAGAAATAAAACAAGGAGTAAAAGTAATAAAGAAAAATTTATTGAAATATGGAAAACACTTAAAATCAACAGAAAAATATTTTATAGAAAAATAGGAGCAGTAATTCTTTAAAAAACCTCCATCTAAATAAAATAAATGATAAGGTCCATAGAATTAATAAATTTATGCAACAATTGTTTCTTTGTTAAGACCAATGAAATAGGCAATTCTAAGATGGGTAAAAATTATAAAAATACAGAAATATGCAACATTCACAATTAGAATAGAGAGTATAGATAAGAGACTGTAGCAACTGTAAGTGAATACTAGCTATAATTCTTTGAAACTAAACGTGAAGATGCAGATAAAATGAATAATTTTCTAGGGAAATGTAAATGACCAAAATATAAACAAAGATGAAAATTTGAATATATCAATAATCATGGACAAAATTGAGAATACATTCCAAGAATCACTTAGCCCAGATGGTTAGAGACAGCACTATAGACCCTGTAAAGAGCAGATACATTTTATATAAATCAGGGGCATACTAAGAGATGGAAATTCCTCAAATGATATTAGTAAGGTAGCAAAGCCTTGACACTAAAAATGTGGTCTTAAAATAAGTTGCACAACACTGACAGTAAATGTCACTTGCTAATACAGAAACTAAGACCCTAATTAAAAATTAACAAATATAAGAGTATATACACCATGGCCAAAAAATAGTTTAGCCAGAAACTGAAGAATGATTTAATGTTTTGAAATTAATGTAATCCATGGTTATAATAGCCAAACAAAGAAACAAAAAGCATGTAATCACTTTGAAAATGCTGCATATATGCAAGCCTGTTTTAAGAAAGAAAAAGAAAAAATATAAAAATAGAAGAAATCCGAAAGTAAATGGGATAAAGGAGAGCACTTTCCACGCATGGCAAAACTCTAGAGTATGAATGGCAAATGGTTTTCTCCACCTTTGCTCATTCCTACCAGTTGGCAGTAGCTGTGGGTAGCTGTCAGGGTAGAGTTATGGTGTGTTAACAGCATTCATGTTCTGCAGAAAGAGTTCTGAGATTGAGCCCCAGTTTCTACCACATTAGTACAAGGCTGAGGAGGGGCAGAACGTATTTCATGATGCCATGAAATCAAGAATAAAATCAGAATGTTCATTTTCATGGTATTATTTAACATTTTCTGAAAGTTCTAGCAAATACAACAATTGTTGGAAAGAAGAGGAAAATGTTACCATTATTTCTAATGATGCCGCTTAGCTTATGTTAAATCAGGACCATGTTAAGTGAAGATTACCATTACATTAGTTCATATAGCAGGGGGATGTCATGAAAACCAACATGCATGGTGCATCAGCCATGTAGGAGCAGGGAGAAGGTCACTGATAATGCGCAGGAGGAGGGAGCCCACCTTGTCCTTCCTCCTTTAGGCCTGCCCCCATGTGGGAAGAAAGCACCTCCAGCACCAATCTGGCCCCAAACTGTCTCTACTGGAGCATATTTCCAAGAATTATGGACTTACTAAGCATGAGGAATCCAAAAAATAAGGAGGTAATTTATTGTTATGGGAAGAACAAGTTCTAGCAAGCAGGAGTCCTGGATCCTGGCCCACCTTTGCTGGGTAGCCTTGAGAATATCAGTTGACTTTTGCGGTCATCATCTAGAACATAAGCAGTCTTTAGAAAAAAAAAAGAAAATCAATAACCCACCTTCTTTTCTACTATGTAATCACATCCTTTACTGGCAAAAATAAATGCACTTTCTAGTGAACTGGGCCCAGAAGCTGTTCATACCAAAGCTCATCACATTGTTATTATTATAATCACATTATCTTCGAGAAAGTAAATGTAGGATAACAATCTTGATCTCTGATTTTGCTAAATAAAGACTTTCATATAGTCTGTGCTAAAATGTGTTGAACTCTGAGTTATTATCTGAAGGGAGTTCTTATTTGGCAACCGGTTTAATCAACTGTTTCACAATTTGTCATATATCCATGCCAGTTAATTTGGGTGTCTGACAATAGGAAATTTACTTTTAAAGGCTGTGATCATTGTATGAGAGGCGTCACCCTTCCGACTCTTAAGTATCACGAATTTGAACAATAACGCCCCATCTGCCAATAAATGAGCAAACCAATAAATAAATAAATAAATATCCTTAGTTTTTCAGGAGCAAAGGAAAGAAATAAATCTTTCCCTCAGCAGCACCTCTCAATTACTCCATCATAATTGCGAGGTATTATTTTCACAATCACTTTTGAATGCGTCACATTTGGTAATTATTATATAACTTCCTTTCAAATGCACTCCTACACTTACTGCATGCATAAGGTGATTTTTAACACCACTCGTTCTGTTTCTTTAAGAATTTCCAAAGACACCCTTGAGAAGATTGGGAATAAAGGAAAGCTAAGGCATAATAGTATTTCTAGTTCACTTCGAATGAGACTTTATTGTGCTCGAGTCGATGCTCTCAATGTAAAGTGTGGTTAAGAACGCAGACTTGCAAAGTTCAGCTCTGTGCCTGCCTTTTCTCACTTGCCAAGTGATGGACACAGCATGTCTTTCACGCCGTCATTTTGAATAAGGTAATATATACAGCGTTTGGAATATATACAGCATTTGCCTCGCCCACAAATGCAAGCTGCTCATTTTAAGTGGGTGATCTCATTTCCTTCTCACAACAGCCCTAGAATGGAGCCATGAGCTTCTTCCTTTCACAGTTGAGGAAAGGTTAAAGGTTGAGGGACCACCAGAGGCTACCTAGGACTCAGGATAAGGAAGTGAACCCCCATTCCATGGTTCTTTGAGGCTTCACTTCTCTTCTATTCTAGCCATTGTGTGAGGGAGCAAGGGTCAGAGCAGAAATGTTAATGCCCCTTGTAACCTCAAATATGAGAACCCCATTTCTAGATTTCACCCCAGTCTTAAATTCCTTAAACTCTCCAAATTTCCTCAGAAGTCTTGTCTGGAAGTTGTTAATTTCACAATTCTCCTCTAAACTGATAATAAGGTTTTCAATTCTTCCATAGTTGGAAGCTCAAAAACAGAGAGAATCCCTTAGAGTAAGATAATAAAGACAATCATCTATATACAGCTTATGGGCAACAAATACCTTTTAGACCAAAAACACTTATATTTATAAGGTGACTTACATGTACATATATTTTACTGTTTAATTCCATGACCTAAATTTGGCAGGATGATGCAGCTTTTGGAAAGGGGTAAGACATTCAGGGAAAAAGAGAAAGCAATAAATATCTCACTCATTATTTATCACTTTGATCTCCTGGAGAAATAAAAAAGTCAAGTAACTGAGGGGTGCCTGGGTGGCTCAGTCATTAAGCATCTGCCTTCAGCTCAGGTCATGATCCCAGGGTCCTGGGATCAAACCCTGCATCAGGTTCCCTGCTCCTCGGGAAGCTGGCTTCTTCCTCTCCCACTCCCCCTGCTTGTGTTCCCTCTCTCGCTGTGTCTCTCTGTCAAATAAATAAATAAAATCTTCAAAAAAAAAAAAAAAAGTCAAGTAACTGAGCTGACATGTTCATGTTCTATGAGAATTTCAAGTATTTGTGAAAAGAAAATAAAGATTTTTTTTTTAAGATTTTATTTATTTATTTAATTTGCAGAGAGAAAGAGAGACACACACACACAGTGAGAGAGGGAACACAAGTAGGGGGAGTGGGAGAGGGAGAAACAGGCTTCCCACGGAGCAGGGAGCCTGATGCAGGGCTCAATCCCAGGACCCTGGGATCACGACCAGAGCCGAAGGCAGTCGCTTAACCAACTGAGCCACCCAGGTGCCCCAAAAGAAAACAAAGATCTTATAAAGATGTTGAGCGCATATATATTCTCAATATGAAATCAATATGACTCTTAAAGTGAAGGTCGATATTAATGGGAAAATGTGGCAAAGACCTAAACATGCTCTTGAGCTGAAGAATTTGGACCAGTATAAATGATTTGGAAGGAAGGAGAGTCATAGCCTGGGAGAGTAGGAGGAATAAAAGGTTTTGTCCTGCCCACTCCTTGTATCTGCCACCACTCAAAGCCAAAGGACTGCTTCTCTCACATCCCTCTTTAGATCCACCGAAGGGATAGGTGAGGGCAGAGCTCTGTGGCACAGCTCATGGAGTCCCCACCAAGATGGCTGCCTTTGCAGTGATACCACCTTGGCATGAGAGAAAGCAAATGCCCGGGTCTGTCAGGATGGAGACATTCATCTCTTGGCCTCTATTTCAGCATCACCATTGCTTGGGGCCTCTATTTACCTCTCTGAATCTCCCACATCTCAGTATCCTGTTTATCCTCTCTCCCTCACCTCAGTTCTACTCCAAAGAAGATGGGTCCCAGGTCACTAAAGATGACTATATCTTCTGCAGTTTGAACGTATATCCCTCTGCTCCACAGTTTATTTCATCACGTTATTGTGCTATAGATTGGAGAGAGCGCTGATCCAACAGGATTGACACAGGCTCACATCATTCGTGAAGATTTTCATGAATTTTCAGAATATAAGAAAGTAAATGAGGTTATGAGCTCAGGCTGTATTGATTTTGTATTGCTGTGTTCTGTTTTATTGTTTCCACTCTGTTTCATGGCCAAACAACCACACCTCGACCCTGTAACAGATTCTCTTGCCCAAACCATCTCCTTGATGGCAGTACGAGATACCACAATAAAGCCAAGTGTGCCAAAACCTCTCATCATGTAGAAAAATAGCTAGGCACAAACTCGTGAGTCAGGGGCATTTGTTACTTTGAAAGGCAATCCTTTCTTATCAGAGTCCCCCACATAAGCATTGTTTAAGAGTTACATTTGAAAACACTTCAGTGGAGGTAGAGGTCAAGTGTTTCACTTTCTGGAACCAAACCCAGTGCCCTGGCACATAAAGCTGTTCAAAGAATGGTGATCCCCCCCACCACCCAGCCTAAGTACATTCCAAAAGCTAATGGTTGAGCTGCTGCATGACTTTCAGAATGTTCCCATTCCATCAGTCCATCGTGACTTGTTTCCATCGTTTCTTCTGAGAAAGACTATGAAAGTTATGTGATTTTAAATGTTCAAATGAAAGTATTTACGCATGCATGATGGTCCCTCCCTCTCTCCTTTCCTTCCTGACTCTTGTTACCTTCTTTCTCTCATTCTTTATTCACATGTGATTTTGTTAACTTTCAATAAATGGAAAACTAATAATTCAGAAATATAATGTGTACCTAACCTCATTCTGGATTTGAAAATAAGAACTCCCACTTTTCTAAAAATGTTGCTTTTGATTGTCATTATAATTACACCAAATTTCACTGTGCTGGTGAAGACACTGCTAAAGTCATCATTTGGTACAGAAACACCAGGGATCCTTATCTGTTTTTTTAATAAATAGGCTCAACATTTTAACTTAGAAAAATTTTAAGTAAAAAATTTAAAAAGTGCTTTGGGAAACACACCGAAAGACAAAAGAGAGCTGGAATGACTTTGAAGCCTCCGTCAGCCCGTACAGAAGTGAACGGTTGATCCACAAGTCTGCTCACACTGACGCAGAGAGATCTGCAAAGACATCACTACGATGGCAGATTGCAAGTGATAGAATATAGTTACAAGAAAGAAGATTCACAGGGAAAAGCAAGAATATTTGGCTAGAGAGATTCAGGGAGCAGGTCAGGGGAGGGGAGAGGAAAAGATGCTGAGAAAAAAGTGAGAAAGTGTGAAAGCTATTTATTCCATATTCTATACACTACAAAGGTTGAGTGAAACCCGGCTAATAACAAATCCATGTACATGACATGTGGTTAATCATATTCTAAGAATGACATAAAGGATAGCCAGACACATATAAACAGGGAAAAAATAGATGGCAAGCCCTCCAGAAAGGAACTAGAACATGAAATGTGGAATGGAGAGGCCTGGGAGGTATCACTCAGGATGCGAAGGTTCGCACAGCCAGACCAGCCTGGCGAGAGTCCATTTTTCTCTGGCTCGACCCTCACTTACTGCATGGTGGAAATTTGAGCATGACTTCAAATACCTCCACCTTGGTTTTTGGGTCCTTCCAGCTAGTGCATCTGTCATACCTATTTCCGCCTGTTCCAGTGACTGTGATGCATCTGCTGCGGACGGGACCCAGATCTCCTGAAGGAGGTGGTCCCCCGGCTCCCATAGCATGCCGCCATGTCCACAACTCACGCCAACACTAAGGCTACATGTGGACAGTGTCTACATTGCCACGTGCCATGCCTGATACCTGGGCTACCACCCAGCGGTGCTGACTTCTGCTCATGCCAACTTAAAGCTCTTGTTCTGCTTTGTACTTGTTCTCTATTATACTGCTCCTCCTGAGATGAGGCGGAAGGCGTGAGACTTGGGCTACGGGACAGTCCGCATGATGGACACCACGCCATCCCCTTGCATGACGACCTCAAACAGACCCCAAACGTCACTTCTCCCTTCGTATAAACTCCTAGTCCTGGAGGGCCTCTGCACAGACCCTTCCAAATAAGTCTCCGAATAGTAATAACTATTGCGTTCTGACCTTTCGCCAGCACTGAGTTTCATATGAGTTTTCCTTAGGGAAACAATAATCCTTTGGGATGGAAATTATCCCCCCTTGACACATGAGGAAAGCTGAGGCTCAGAGAGGTGAGAGCCTTGCCCAGCACCTGTCAGCTGGTTTTATATTCGAGTCTTCTGTGCTCCAACAACGAAACTCTTAACAGCTGGACACAAGGCATTCCAGAGGTAAAGCCACACAGACAGCAGCTCCTGTGTACCCGAGGCAGGGCGCAGGGCCGTCCCTTGCCTGGCTTCAAAGCCACTACAGCCCTTTAAACGGAACACCCAAGGAAAGGGAATACCCGATCACACCGGATGGGAGAGTGAAAGACCGCAGGCTAGCAGCAACTTTGTATGAAATAGAGAGAAGTGGCATGTTTCAACTCTGGAAGTCCCAAAACTCTGAATTAGCACAATACACGCATACCTGTAATAGGGATTTGCAAACACTAATAGTGTAGGCACATGTCAAAAATTTTTTTTTAATATTTCTGTTTTATACGACAATTAGCTACAAAGAACATGGCCGTAGGAAATTAGATGTCATTGTTTGACGCTGCCTTATGGAGTGGAAACAGTGTAAATTTTAATTCCATGACCGAACGGTTCTAAGTAAGACAGTGGAGAATAATCATTCTACCTGATGTTTGGAAGGAACCTGACAAGGGTAGGCGTGTATCTGAGTTTGTAAGAAGCTGGAAATGAGAGTCAAAGCATGTGCAAACATTTGTCTTATATGTAGAGGGGAAAACAACTGGCCGTGCAGATTCCAGGTATAAGCTGGCATGGCTAAGACATGGAGAAAGTATAAAACTAATCTGTTGTGTCCCTTCCCTGAGTCTGCTTCACTTCCCATCCCCCAAGCCCATAACGTCCTCATTTACAAAGTTCTACGCTCAGGTGTAAAGCCCAAGACTAAAAATTACTTTAAGAAACATATCCCAGGGGCGCCTGGTTAGCTCAGTCAGTTTAAGTGTCCTAGTCTTGGTTTCAGCTCAGGTCATGATCTTAGGGTCCTGGAATCGAGCCCCGCATCAGGCTCCATGCTTAGCCACAGAGTCTGCTAAAGTTTCTCTCTCCCTCTCCCTCTGGGCCCCCCACCCCCTGCCCGGCTCACGTGCTCATTCTCTCTCTCTCTCTCTCTCAAATATATACATCAAAAAAAAAAAAAAAAAAAGAAAAGAAAAGAAAAGAAAGGCACATATCCTAATATGTGAAATTCCAACCACCATGAGAGATGTCTTGTACCCTCATTTTCACGCCTTGGGGACAATTCCCCAAGGTAGATAGTAGATACTCTTTCTTTATGAATATGCCAATGTTCCCCAATGAATAGATTAACTTAGTTTTGTCCTGATTAGCTTTATTTCTATCGTTTTCGCTTTACGTATTTTAAATCTATACACGTTTAGAATGATTGCATCTTCCTAAATGGATCGAGTCTTTTATTTTTTATAAAAGGGTGTTACTTTATAGGACTCGAATATATCTTTTTCTATCTTCTGACTTCCATTTTCAGCATCCTATTTTTAAGATGTTTCTTTTGTAAGTAGCATATGGTGGTTGTTTTTTTAATCTCCTTGGATAATCCTTATGCTTTCAGTGGAAGATAATAGTACCACTGTATTTTGTACCCCATGCTCCAGTCAGTGTTGGTGCCCCAAGCCCAAGGCCCACCTCTGACCTGAGATGCAGCTTTGGTGAGCAATCCTGAAGCATTCTGACGGTGTCTCACCTCAAGCACCCACTGTGCCTCCTATGTTCATTATGTTTCTTTGTGTGTGTGCCTTTCATCTATTTTTCTATATTTGAAGGCAGATATTTTCTACTGGCCTTACTTCCAGTACACTAATCTTTTTCTTGGCTGTATTTAATTTGTTGTTGAACCCATCTGTTTGTTTCTTAATTTAATTAGTTTCTTGATTTCTTATGTATTGTTAAGTTCTAGAATTCCCATGTGATTTTTAAAAAATATGTATTATAGTTGCCCGGGGAACTCCCTCGTCATTATTTTCTTGAACTTACTAGTTAGTTATTTAAAAGTCTGTGTTGAGTAACTCCACCATCTGGATCACCTGTAGGCTTGTGGCTACTTTTCCCCTCAGTTTTTCATTATTTCTTTTTTTTCCCCTAATTATGTTTGAGAAGTTTTTATTAAATGCAGGCAGTGTGTATGAAAAAAATTCAAGGCTCAGAGTGATGTTATTTTCTTCCAGAGATAATTTACTTTGCTTCTGGATGGCAGGTAGGTAGGGACAGTGTCTTTTAGTCCAATATGGAATTTAGCTATTTCCATCGTAAGGGCTGGCTAAATTCTGTTAACTTATAGTTCTTACATATAGTCCTTCAGGTGTCCAAAATGACTCCAAGTGATAGCTTGGGGTGTTTACCGGGACCCGCCACTCACAGAGGGCCTTGAATTCCAATTTTTTTTGTCTCCCCAAAGTTCTGCCCAGCTTCTCAACCTCTCAGCCTCAGGCTCTTGGAAATTGGCAAATTCCTGGAGAGAAATTGGGCTTACCTCCATATGCTTATTTTCTCTCCAGGGTCCTGATGCCCCAAACCCTGGCTTTCTTCTTCTTGCCCTGACTGTACCCTGATATTTACATATATTCTGGTACACTTACGTGTGTGTATACACACACGTACATATGTCTACACATGCACATATATGTATACATACGTGTGCATGTATATACACACATGTACACACATATGTATACATCATCTCCAACCTTTCCAGGTGTTCTAGGTGACAGGGTTTGTCCAATAAGTTAATCCATCACATAGTCAGAGATGGAATTGTCCATATCCATGGGTCAGCATTGTGGGGGACCCTTGGCATTTGTGTGTACTGGAGCCCTAAGTTTACCCAGGTCATCAAACTGAATCTGCCTCCAATGAACTGTGTAACCTTGGGCATATGATTTCACCTCTATGTGAGTTAGGTCTAAAATGACAGGTTTAACTACATAAGCTCTCAGATCGGCTCCAGCCATGCCATGCTATAATTCTGTTCTGCTCGTTCGCAGCAAGAACTACATTTAAAAAAGGAAATACAATGGGATTCAGAAGTCACTGGCTAGTAAAACTAAAAATAATTTGCTAACCTTGCATTTTAAAACTTCACAAGTGTTTCTTAGGATTTCCCATAAGAGGCTTTAAGAACTTCCTGTGAGATATTTCCTTTAGATCTTAGATAGTAAGGGAAACACCAGCCCACTATTAATCCATAGGTCTATTAGCAGTTTTGCATTCCTGGGATAAATACTTCTTGGTTCTATCTTTTTGCATATGTTATTTTGGTTTGACCATAACTTATTCAGGATTTTTTGTGTCAATGTTCACATGTGAGCCTGGCCTATAATTTCTCTATCTTATGCTATTCTTGTCGGTTTGCTTCATCAAGGTTATTTACCAGGCCCATAGAGGCAGGTGGGGACCTTTTTCTCTTGTTTTATTTTCTGGAACATTTGGATAAGACAGATGTTTTCACTTCCTTGACACTCTGATAAAACCGAGTGTGATGGTTTGAGGGGTAGATTTTCATTAATGCTTTAAATTCTTTGATGATATTAGAGTTTTCTACTAATTTTGCAGCCGACTCTGGCAATTTTTCCATTTCACCTAAATTTTAAGATCTATTGGCATAAAGGTTTTCAAGATATTCTCTTATGATTTATATCATAGTCATGACTCTCCTGCATTTCTAATATTATTTATTTGTTTCTTTTCTCTTTTTCCTGAGCAATATAACCAGCATTTTTTTTTTCAATATCTCTAAAGAACTGGATTTAATTTTGTTGCTCCTCTCTATTGTATAGTTTGTTCCTGTATCTTTTTTTTTTCTGTTTATTTATTCCATTTCCTTGGATTTACATTTTGAACTGAAATCTTAGATCATTTGTTTATAACCTTTCTTAATTTCTAATGTAAGTCTGTATTAAAATGAGTCATGAAATCATGACAGAAAATAGCATATTCAAATGAATCAATTGGCAAAAGCTTAATAAAGGAATTATTTTGAAGTTGTGGAGAGAGTTAACAAGTCTATTTCATGTAATGAAGTCTAAATATCAGATCTGTCTATCCTACAATTGTGTGCCATTGAGAAGCTTTAAATCCACTTCCCCATTCTCATTCTGTCAGGTTCTTCTGATCTCATATCTTAGTTCTAACTTGTTTTTAACTGCCTTGCCACTCTTTTAGTTATAATCATTGCAGTTTTGCTTTTATAGACATTTTATTTAGATTTACTTATTTGTTTCCTCATGATTTCATTCTCCTTCTGGGTCTTTCTGGGTTCATTTTCCTACTTTCTAAAGTCCAGCCTTTATTTAGTATTGCTTTCAATGAGGGTTTGTGAGTGGTAAACAGAGTCATTTATTACACTAGTATTATTTTGTCATTTTGATGATAACTTATGTTGATTATTCAGCATGGAGCTTGCTCATTATGTTTTTGGTACATGTGGAATCTCTCACTACTGTGGTGCAGGCATACAATTTCAAGTTTTCATGAGTAACTTTCTTCTCTTACAGAGCAAACTCTTTTGCCACTTCACCCGACCAGGGAATGGAGATTTTCTAGATGCTGAGGTCAGGTATGACTTT